CCCGCCCGCGGCTTCCGCCTCCGCCCCGGCCCCGATCCAGGACCCCACGGCGCCGCCCTCCTCGCTCGCCAAGGCGGCCGAGCTCGTCACGCGGTTCCGGGAGCAGGGCCAGGCGCTCATCGCCGCGCGCCGCCCCTGGGGGGAGGTCTTCCGCTCCCCCGCCTTCTCCAAGCCGCCCAACGTCGGCGAGGCCGTCTCCCGGATGCGCCGCAACACGGCCTACTTCCGCGCCAACTACGCGCTCGCCGTCCTCGCCGTCGTCGCCGCCTCGCTCTTCTGGCACCCGGGCACCCTCTTCGCGCTCCTCGCGCTCTGCGCCGCCTGGTTCTTCCTCTACTTCGCGCGCCCCGCCGAGGGCGCCCAGCCGCTCCGGATCTTCGGCACCGAGTTCGACGACGGCACCGTCCTCGCCCTGCTCTCCGGGGTCACCGTCATCGCCATGCTCTTCACCGACGTCGGGTGGAACGTCGTCGGCTCGGTCATGATCGGGCTCGCCCTCGCGGGCGCGCACGCCGCGCTCAGGTCCACCGACGACCTCTTCCTGACCGAGCAGGAGGCGGCCGGCAATGGGCTGGTTGCCGCAGGCTTCAGCGCTGCTGGACCCATCTTGCCCACCTATGTCCGCATTGGTTGATTGTGCAGTCTGGCGTGGTGGCATAATGGTGCTCCAATCTTTGTTGGACATTCTCGGTTTGTGTTCTTGTTTGCAATTGTGCATTGGCAGTTCTGTTTCATATATACAGCACAGAATCTATTGGTTCGTGTGTTGGCGTGTAAAAAACCTAGATTGGCTTGTGATCTTAGACGCAATAGTAAATTAGTAATGTTTGCAATCATATTATGAACATATTATACACTTTTCTTCTGAACTGAGTGTAAAGCTGTTATGTTGATAATGGCAATTGCCATCCGATTCTTCACTATAGTTTGCTGCAAATGCTAATGTTGATGTTCTTGTGCAATTCGCTTTGTGAATTTCACACCTCTTTATGATGGATCAATCTCCAGAATACTGTGTTTCTAGATCTTAGAGATTGCCATGGCAATGCAAAGATGCCATAAACACATACATACTCCTACATTTCCTGTCTTTCTAGATGATAGATTGCCATGACAATGCAAAAGATGCCACCAACACAGCAATCCTCTGTTTCTAGATGGTAGATTGCCATGACAATGCATAAGATGCAATCAAATCAACACGACAATCCTGTGTTTCTAGATGGCAGATTGGGATGGCAATGCAAAAGATACCATCAACACATATGCTCGTTTACTCTCTTTCTTAATGGTTTATAATGATTAGACTGCAGCTGAATGCATATTGTTGCTTTCCCTTCATTTGCCTTTCCTTGACTGAGCAGAGACGCTGGCAGTGCTCCTGTACCCATCCTGCCCAGCTACGTCTGTATTGGTTATTTGTGCATCGCCTGCATGGCATGATGATACCCAAGGCCCACTGTTTGTTCAACATTCTTGCTGTTCTTTGCTTGCAGTTATGCATTGGCAATTCTGTTTATATATATAATGTGAGGAAATATGAAAACGGAAATGGAAATGAAATTCTTTATGCGGAAACGGAAACAAAAACGAAATGGTGTTTTCTGGTGGAACACACGTGGAAACAGAACTTTCCGTTTCCGTTAATATGGAATTTCCGTGTCTACTATAGGCCCACGGCTGCTTTGTAGCCCAACTACCAAACAACACGCAATGACACAATGAGTAGAATGAGCAAAATGTATCATTTGAGTACCAATGTTTACTACCACACACATACTCAGCTAGACCCTATACGGAATTGTCATGTACTACTACAATACTACCCTATCTTACCAACATGACCATATTATTTTGTAGCCATGTTAACAATTCCATCAATTTGTTTGTATTTTGTCTGTATTTCTCCATGATTCAAGGGGGCTTTAAGTTCCGGTCAACACACAGTTTTGTTTTCGTGTCCGCTTTGTATTCGCTTCGGGTTTGTTTCCGGTAGTATCTGTTTTCGTATTCGTTTCTGGGGTTTCTGTATTCGTTTCCGTTTCTACAAAAAATATGAAAACAAATATGGCAACACCCAGTTCGATCCGTTTCCGTGCTGTTTTCATCCCTATGCAGTATCTATTGGTTTGTCTGTTGGCCTGTTTAAAAAAATTACTCCCTTGGTTCACTATTATAAGATATTCTAGCTTTTTTTTTCTATGTAGACACGTTTTAGTGTGTTTGTTCATTAATTTTCAGTCTGTATGTAGTCCATATTGAAATATCCAAAACATCTTATAATAGTGAATGAAGGGAGTACTAGATTGGCTTCTGACCTTCAACTCATAGTAACATGTAGTGAACATATTCCGCTTTTTAAAATCTGAATTGAGTTGGCAATTAGCAAGGTGGTGGTGTTTATTTATGAAAATGAAGGTGTTATGTGTTCATAATGGTCGTTGCCATCCGATTCTTGATTAGTTTGCTTGCAAATGCTAATGTTGACCTTGTGACTTCTGCACCTCTTCACGATGTATGAATCTCCACAATCCTTTGTGATGCTTCTAGGATGTCCATGCAAACCACCTGTATATCTAGATGCTGGATTGCCATGGCAGTTCAAAAGATACCATCAACACTGTTCTTGTGTTCTCTTGTACTAGTATGATATGATTGCTGCAGCTGGACTGCGTATGTTGCCTTCCTTTCTTTTGCCTCCCTTTGTCGGTGCTATGGCCTGTATAATGATGTCGCTTCAGTGGATATCATGTTAGTCGCGCCCCGTCGCTGGAGATCATGTTGTCCAGAAACTTTGTTGTTATGATAATTGTTGGAATTTAGAAGGCCCCATTTGGGAATATGGGGTCGTTGAACACACTGGAGTAATCTGGTGCTTTTCTTTGGGCACAAATCTCTGTGGCGCTTGATCCAAACTACTGAAGGAACATGAGCGTGCTCCTCCCTTTCTGCCTTGGTGGTGCGATGACAGAGGATCATCAGTCAATTCACCATGATGTTCGCAAGCTTCATGCTGGGATTTGCATGAGACATGAATTTCTTTTTTTGACGAAAAGGCAGAACCACTGCTTGTCATTGCATACAGACGAAAAAAATGTTACAAAGCAAGATTACAGAGGGGGAGGGGGGAATACAAAGCATCATATTAGTCTGGTTCTAGAGGTCTCTTTACTATTGCCAAGACACCGCTGTCCATCATCAACCCAGTCCTGGGCCTCTAACTGAATTTTTTCGAACAACCTTATAATAGAGGTACACATGTTCCTGAAAATTCTTTCGTTTCTCTCTTTCCATAGCATCCACCATACGAGGGCCATGACCGATCTCCACGACTTCGCCGTCTCCTTCCTTGTTCATACCTTGAGAAGAGTGTTGCCACCAGTCTATCATGTCTTCATTGCCATTAATATTCAGCCTCCTCCAATCATGTCTTCATTGCCATTGATATTCAGGCTCTGGGGGAGGTCCAGCTTGCTGATTGCAAGTGCCAAATCTCCTTGGCGTAGGGGCAAACTGAAAGGAGGTGGGAGGCACTTTCGGGAGATTGCAAGCACAAGGTGCATGCGGGATTATGTGGCCAACCTCTCTTAGCCAGGTTATCAGCGGTAAAACACTTTCCTTGAGCCGCGAGCCACACAAAAAAAATGACATTTTGGCGGCGCGTCCGAGCTCCAGGTAAGTTTGGCGAAGAGCGACTTGATCCGTGCCGACAACATGGCAACAGAAGCAGAAGCAGTCGAGAAAGAAACATTAGCTGTCCACCGCCAGGTCAAGGAGTCAGGCTGGTCCGGGATGAGGTGGTTGTGCTGCACAACATTCCATAGGCTCGAGAACTGATCGATAGAGGCAGTTGAGAGGTTGGCTTTGAGGTGTCTCATCCATTTGTCACCCATTAAAGTGGCCTTGTCACTTCTAGTTTTGAGAGTGCATTCTTGAACAAATCTGGGAATTTTGTGCGGAAGCTTTCCCTATTATGCCAAGGGTCGGTCCAGAACTGAGTTAGGCCCACATCTCCAATGGAGAAATCCACCGAAGCCTCAAAGTAAGAACGAACAAATCTGTCCATAGGGAGCGACAAGCTGATCCAAGGTTTTGAAGTGTCCATCCAGGAGAGCCATAGCCATCTACATCTCATCGCAATACTTTTTTGATTCAAACACGGGATACCAAGGCCACCAAGTTGTTTTTGGGGAGACATACCTGCTTCTAATTCACCATGCCTCCAGTTGTAGTATCCTTGTCCACCCACAAGAAACCACGACAACACTTATCAAATTTCTTGACAGCCCAACCAGGCGGGTCAATGGCCATGATCTGAAATAATGGAAGTGCATAAAGCACCGAGGTGACAAGAGACAGCCTCCCAGCCATGGGCAAGTTGAGCTTGTTTCCACCCGGAAGTGTTGCGGTGGAGTTTATAAAAAAACCGGCTGGTAATGCACTCTTTGCAGGCGAGAATAGCTAAGAGGCATGCCCAGGTAAGTGACGGGAAATTCCTTGACTGGGCAGCGCAGGAGTGCAACAAGCTCTAGGAGATTGATGTCATCATCACAACGAATGTGGCAGAAGCTGTTCTTGAGAAAGTTTGTCCTTAGGCAGCTTGCATTGTCGAAGGCATCTAGAATAGGTTTAGCCGCAGTGATCTCACGGGTAGTTGGCCTGACAAACATCATCACATCGTCTGCACATAATTAGATTCCGAGGTTAGGTATGCAGCGGCCAAAAGGGGCCAGCATGCCAGCTTGCACCATTGTATGCACCATTACATCAAGCAAGTCCATGACAAGGATGAAAAGCAGCGGTGAAAGTGGGTCACGCTGCCTAAGGCCCTTGCGATGAACAATTTTCTTAGAAAGCTCGCCATTGACAAGAACCCGAGTGGAAGAAGAAGCAAGCATCACAACAATCTAGTTTCTCCACTTTTGTCCAAAACCTTTCGCAATGAGGACCTCAACCAGGAACTACCAAGAGACACTATCAAACGCCTTTTCAATATCCAGTTTCAACATCATGGAAGGGATTTTCTTCAGGTATAGCGATCCGACCATTCCTTTAACAAAGACAAAATTGTGTTGGATTGCTCTGCCCTTGATGAATGCACTCTACGAAGGAAGCTCTAGGTTTTTCATCATTGTTGCAATCTTCTTGCAAAGACCTTTATGATAATCTTCGCAGAAAAGGAGAGCAGGCTAATAGGCCTATAGTCTTTAGCTTCTTCCACATCTGCTCCCTTGGCGATGAGAATGATGATTGCATTGTTAAGACTAGCAAGGTTTCAGACGTTGCAACACTCAAAAGACTTGCTCACCAGCATGACATCCCCTTTTACAATGTCCAACACTTTTGGAAGAACAGTGTCATGAATCCATCAGGCCCATGGGCTTTTCTTGGGTTTAGGTCCATAATTGCAACCTTAACCTCCTGCTCAGTGAAGGGGCACTCCAGCCTAGAGAGATCTTTTTGGTTTATGCCCAATTCAGAGAAATTCTTACACCAACCCCTCTATTTCTTAGTTCCAAGGGTCAAGGAGAAATGCTCCCAGATAGCTTGCAACTTTTCATCATGGCTAGTCACCACCGTACCATTATGCTTAATACTAAGGAAAAAATTCAGTGCTCGCATCACCGTCTTTCA